CTTTTGCGTTGTTGGTTCCTGGGTGTGTTTCTGGCAGCCTGGCTTCAGGGATAATCCAGGGGAAAGAGATTGAAAAGTTGAGAGGGTGAAAGGAAAAAGCAGTTAGGGTTAGGAGCGTCTCTCTTTGTTTTCTCTTAAGGAACTTTTCTTGAAGGGAGAAAGGAGAACCTGAAACCTCTGGTTCTGCCCATTAGGGAGAAGAACTTTTCCTGCTCCGAGTCAGCACTTTTTGGGGGGTTGTTAGGGAGGGGGGATAAGCGCTGTCTAAAATTAAAGGAGGATGGGAGGAAGTGAGAGCTGAATCAGTGCCTTGGGCAGGGGCCGCAGAAGCTTCAAATGCTTGCTCTAGGGCAGGAAGCACATGGCCTTCCTCCAGATCGCAGAGCCTGAGCTTCTACTCAGCCCCGTAGCACTTCCCACACACACTCTCTCACTTCTGCTTTGAGCACGCCCTCTCCACGCAGCCCTGAGCCCATTCTTTGTGCTGCCCGTGGCTTCCGCCCTGGGCCACAGCTAGCGCGGGCTCAGACTGATATGCCAGGGGGCCAGGTGGGATGAGGCAGAAGGGACACAGGCAAGGGCCCAGGCTGGGTAGCTGAGTCTTATCCTACTGATGGCCCAGGCCAACCCACGTGGCAAGGTTGGGGCTGTCCTGGAGATAAGGGGCGCTTCTGGGCCTCTTGGGAAAGAACTGTGTCTAGGAGTCGGGTCACCTGCAGACTAAATCTTGACACTAAGATATTTTGTGACCTTGGATAAATCACTTTCCCTCCTCTGGGGTAAACCGGAGGGGCTGGCCTGGATTGTCTCTAGTTCTTCCCAGCTTTGGAAGTTTCATTTCCTGGCTTCCTTCAAAGTCACATCTAAAATTCTGTTTTCTTCAAAAAGCCTTTCCCAGTCCCTCTTAATGCTACTGCCTGCCCTCTAAGATTACCTCTAGTTTATCCTATATCAAATATATCTTGGTTGTATGTAACCATTCGCCGGTTGTCTCCCATCCCCCAGCCCCCATCGATTATGAGTTCCTTGAGATCATGGGCTGTTTTTGCATATATATATATATATATATATATATATATATATATATATATATATATGTATATATATATATATATATACATACATACACATACATATATATGTACATGTACACATATGACATATGCACACATACATGTAGATGTATGCATACACACGTACATATATGTGTGCATGTATGTCTATATCCCCAGTGTTCAGCACAGTTCCTGGCACATAGTAGGCACTTATTACATTCTTGTTAATGACTTCTGATAGATGACTGGTCCCTGGTCCTTCCTTCCTTCTAGAGTCATTTGGAGGAGAAGAAAGGAATGACCACAGGCCTCTTTGGCCCTCCATTACCTCCATTTTCCCTGTTCTCTTCCTCAAAATATAGAAAGAAACTGTCTGGGCTCGTTTAACTTCCTGCCAGATTCACTGAAGCTCAGTCCTGTCCAGCTCAGAAAGAACGCTCACGCAGAATGAGACTGACGGGCTAGGTTCGTCACTTGATGTTTCATCCTCAATTTTTTTTGCCTTCCCCCCACCCCTCGATCCTGGTTTAAGGAAGGAGAGGTTGGCAAGTCCCTTGCTGTCTGCCATGGACTTGTGAAACACTGGCCACCTCTCCGAATTCTACTTCTTTTTCCTTCCTTCCCCTCCCCATCGCCCCAAACTTCATCCCTTCCCATTTCTTCAAATTGCCTGTCACCTAGTCCCTGAATCTCTTCCCCATCCCCCAACAACTTATGTAGGAACCTTTGGACAGCCTTCTTCCGGCTCTTTGATTGGTGGTCTGAGAGTAGGGTTGAGAGGGGAGTCTCATCTAGTAGTGAAATGAGAAATGGTCTTATGATCAGAAGGCCTGAGTTCAAATTCTGGCTCCCATACTTACTAGCTGTATAACCCTCAGTAAATTGTATCACTTCTCTGAACCTCAGTTTCCTCATCTATAAATTAGGGATAATAATGTTTTTACTAGCCACCCGACAGGGTTGTCGTGAAGGGAAAAGTGAATTGTGCCATAGGGAGACGAGAAGAACTCAAATTTAGGGTAAGGGAGAGAGATCATTCCTCTCAGAGCCCAGCCAATCCACACATTCATTCACTCATTCATTAGAAGCAAAGCATTTCCGTGCTAGAAGGGCCCTTTGAGATAATCTGGTTTTATAGAGGGGGCAGTGAGGCAGCACAAAGGAGAGAGCACCAGGTCCAACAACAACAATGAGCGTTGGTTTAAATTCCAGGTCTGCTCCTTAGAACCTGAGTGACCTTCGATCTCAGGAAATCAGTTTCCTACTCTGGGCTTCAGTTTCCTTTGTAAAATGAGGCTCCTTTGAATCACTGGACTCCCTGAAAACGTGGTTAAAAAACTAAAAGCCTGGATCTCTAAGGATCCTTCTGACTCTAAATCCCATGATGTATTCCACGAATGTTCGTTGACTGCCTGGTAGCAGGCATAGGGCTGGGCACAATGCCAGCTGCCTAGACTGGTGTAATGGATTGGGCACTTGACTTGGAGTCAGGAAGAGGTGGGTTCAAATCCATTCTCAGATAGGTACTGCTGTGTGGCTCTGGGCAAGTCACTTAACCTCTCTGTGCCTCACTTTCCTCATCTGAAAAATGAGTGGGGTTGGACTCAATGGCTTCTTGGGTCTCTTCCAGCTTCAAATTATTATCATGTGCCTAGTGCTGTGCAAAGTGCTGAAGATAAAAATATAAAGAATTAAATTATCTCTATGCACCAGTCTCCCCTTCCCGAGGGTCCCTCTGGAGCAGAGCCCACAGGCTAGGAAAGCTCACTGTGTCTCTTTCATTCACCCCTTTCTCTCTTACACACTGATTTCTGACACAAGCCGTGGATTTTGGAGCTACCTCCTTCTCCCAGGCAAAACTGGTTTTCTTCCTTCTCCCAACATACGCCCATATTCCTTTAGGGCTTAAGGGGACTGCAGTTGTTCTGAAAGTGGCCCTACCTGGGGTCCTCAGCCTTTGGGCAAGTCTCTTGGCAGAGAAGCCTCTTCTAGAAAGCGTATCTCAAATCTGGCCTCAGACACTTGCTAGCTGTGTGACCCTGAGCAAGTCACTTAACCCCAATTACCTAAAAAACAAAAAAGTGTATATCCGTCCACAAAGACAATGCTCAGGCTTCTGTCTGCTCTCTCTGTCCTGTCTGTCCTGCTTGCAGCCCCTCAGACATTCAAGGTCTCAGAATCCTTGGCTTATCCAAGGCCCTGTTCTTTCCTCTCCACTTCTGCCTCTTACCCAATTCTCTCTCCTCAAGCTCTCACATTGTCTCCTCTTTCCACCTCACTCCAAAGACCTTCCCCTCTGCTCCTTTACCTTTTCATAGAGTCACAGATGGTCAGAACGGGAAGGGCCCTTGGACATCACCTAATACCAAGGGTTCCTAACCTTTTTTATGGCAAGGCAGTATAGAGAAGCTTATGGACCCCTTCTCACAATAATGATTTTAAATGCATAAAATAAAATATATAGGACTACAAAACAAACAAAAGGTTAGTGAAAACAAAGACGTCATCTTTTTTCCCTTCTAGTTCACAGACTTCCAGAAATCTGTTCTCTGATCTAGTCCAAGCTCTTCATTTTATGGAGGGGAAAACTGAGATTCCAAGAAGGAAAATGACCAGCCCAAGGTCCCACAATCAGTTAGTAGAAGAACTGGGACTGAAACCCAGGTCATCTAATACGCACCACCCCTCATTCTATCTCTGCTCTCTTCCCTTGGGTCCCACAGAACCGCCACCCAAGCTGGTCTTTGCAGAGTATCTGCCATGCTCAAGGCTGTCATGACTCGCCAGAGGAAAGGTTGCACAGCCTGGGAATCCCACTTTGGAACCTAGACTTTGGAACCTCACCCCAGGAACAGGGAGCTAGAGTCTCCAGAGGCAGCCCAGGCACCCAGGAGTCTGCCAACGCGTTCTTGAGGCTCCCTCTCCCTGCTTTGCCCCTACTTCCTGTGTCCACTCTTCTGTAACTTACCGTGCCAGATGACCACTGCCATCAGTGGTAGCAAGGTTCCGGGAGCCATGGCCTCTGGACAGAAGGGAGCCCTGGGTCCAGGGCTGAAGGTGCTCAAAGCTGCCTCCTGCCCGGGGCGGGTTGGTGGAGATGACAGCCGAAGATTTGCCTTGACACACGATCAGTTTTTTGATACTGGCCTCCTCCTTCTCTAAGAAACTTCTCCTTTTTTGCACTGGGCTGTGTGACCACAGAGTTTGGAAATTGAGTCTAAGAAGAAAAACAATCTTGGAAATACTACCCATGACCCCAGTGGGAAGTGGGCTGCCTCTAGGGTGGAGCCAGGCTCCTGTTCTTCTGCTTAGGACCTTGGTGCCCCTGATTATGGGGAGGCTTAGATATGATAGACCCCTCTCCACCTCTACCAGCCCTAGTGGCCTCATTGGAAGGATGGGAAGAGGATAGCCATTCAGACTATCCTGGGTGTCCCTGCAAGGGACAGAAAGGTAACAAACATCTTGAGGACAATTCCAAGAGTCAAAGACACACATTTAATCCCCTGGTACAGGATCTGCAGTAACAAATTAAGCCAAATGACCGACTGACTATCAGAGGGGAATGGAACCAGAAACTGAGATTCAGGGAAGGAAAGCGTAGAAGGTCCCACAGCCAGTTAGTAAAAGCTGGGACTAAAACCTGGGTCATCTGATATGCACCACCCCATACTGCCTCCCTCATTCTATCTCTGCTCTCCTCCCCTGGATCCCACAGACCCAACTTGGTCTCTGCAGAGTATCTGGCATGCCCATAGCTGTAATAGCTTGCTGGAGAAAAGGGTGCACAGCCTGGGAATTCCTCTTTGTAACCCAGACTGAAGGTAGTGTCAGGTTATAGAACATAGAATGTTAAATATCAAAACTGGGAGGTATTCCAGAGAGCAGAACCCATCCTTGGCTCAGAAAAGTGAGGCTCAGATCGGGGAAGTAACTTACCCAAGATCACATAAGTTAGAAATGTAGATTATAAAGCTAGAATCTAACAGTGTTGATTCTTCGCTCAATGTTCTTTCCAGCCCAATCCTCCTCTCTCTCGACCTCCCTGTCCTGGCAAACATACTATCTCTGGTACATGAATTCTATAAAAGTGAAAAAGAGTTACAGAATCCTAGATTCAGAGCTAGAATGGATATTAGAGCCTGTTGAGTCTATCTCCATCATTTTATGGATAAAGGTCACCCAGAGAGGCACAGCCTATGACACGTGTTGTCATCCTGTAAGATTCTTGTCCATGGTCTTCCATGGTTCCTCTCCAGACAATCTCCCCAATGTCTCAGAATCTAAGCTGTTTTAAAAGAGGGGGGGAGCGGGGAGAGAAGAGGAAAGGCTTCCTCAGAACCTTCCTGGATAGGCAGAGACTGGCTTCAGAGCTCGCAGTCTGGCCAGGGAGATGCACAGAGCATGGCACACTGGGCTAGGGCCTGGGATCTGTGATTTCATGGAACTTCCAGGGGACAGAGCATCCTCTATTGGCACAGATGTCCTCAGGTGAGATTGGCCCCTCTTTCTTAGTTTGAGGTGATACATCACTCCCAGATAAAGTGCTGATTCACTCTTAGATTTTCTTTGGTATATTCTAATCTGTGTAACTTCTTTGATTTCTGTTTGTTACTTGCTTGGATGAAGTTTTACTTAAGGTTTACCCACTATTCACTATTCATGATGGTCTTTTGTGTAATTTATATTTGATAGAAGAAAACTAAGTTGGACACTGTAAAATAAAGGCTATCCTACTACTTAAAAGGGCAGGTAGGTGGTGCTGTGAATAGAGTGCTGGGCCTGGAGTCAAGAAGACTCATCTTCGTGAGTTCAAATCTGGCCTCAGACACTTACTAGCTGTATGACCCTGGGAAAGTCACTTAACCTTGTTTGCCTCAGTTCCTCTTCTGTAAAATGAGCTGGAGAAGAAAATGGCAAACCACCCCAGTATCTTTGCCAAGAAAATCCTAAATGGGGTCATGAAGAGTCGAACATAACTGAAAAATGACTCAACAATTCAACTCCTTAAGAGGAACCAGGGAAGCAGATTTCCTTTCGAATTAGGCATGTACCCCTAAATTAGACCAGAAATGTTTGAGGGTACAAATAGGGTGTAATTCTAGCTTGATATTGGAGATAGGCAAGGAAAGGAGCACGTACCCAGCCATAGCCCTTCTCCTGTTTCCCTCAAGCTAGAAATCATCTTGGAGAAGGGTGAATCAGACCTCAGAGAAATCTATGTATCCCACATGTGTTCATACATTTAGACCACCCACGTGGATACACCTACCTTACGTGGATCTACATATGTTACATTTAAAATGAGAAGATTGAATTAGTTGACCTCTAAAATCCCTTCTAGTTCTAGATTTATGATCCTTTGATTCTTTGGGATATCTGCCCCCAAGTGCTAGTTTCTGGTAGGGATTAGTTCTGTGCTCATTGGCAGAATCAGAAAGACTGGCAACCATGGGATCCAATTAACCTTTCACATGGGTCCTGGTTCAAGTATTGTGTTTACTCACTTTATTTTTGGTCTGGTCACTGGCTGAAGGGCCATGGTTTGTCCAAAGCCCTAGCTTCCACTTTTATACACCACAGTTTACTGAGACAGCAATAATAACACAAAATTTCCACTAGCAGTAAGGGAAGGTCATTTTCTTTGAGTGAGTCTAGGAGGGAATCCAGATGTGAAAAGGCAGTTCAGTTTTGGTGCCCTGCAGAGACAAAAAAGTGCAATTTGGGAGGAGGGGGTTGGTCTTTCTGAATACAGGGCATTCATGCTTTTCCCAGGTGCTTCCTGGAATGTGGAGAAAGGAAGAGAGGGAGGGAGAAAGAGGAACCCTTGGAGGGTCCCACCTTGGAAGAACACAAAATTGCAGGCTTATTTAGAGAACTGAACACCATTTGTAGACTAGGGACTGACTTGAATGAAGAAAGACACATCTGTCCCTTGTAGGAATCTTTGCCCCTTTCCCGAGGCTCCTGGCCTCCTATTTTGTAGGGAAAAAAAACGACAAGAAGAAGAAAACGTACTTCCTGGAGGGACAGGCTCATAGGACCTGACCCTATTGTCTTCCAGGCTTTGAAACAACTAAGAGGTAGCTTCAAGCCCATCCAAAAGCCGTTTAGAATTATAGAATGCCAGACTTGGAAAGGACCCTAGATACATACCGTCTAGTCTAGCCCTCTTATTTCACAAAAGAACAAATTGAGACCCACGAAGGAAAATTAACTTTCCTGACATCTCTTAGCTACTTAGTGGCAGATACAGGATTTGAAATAAGATCTCCTAAATCCTCACCTACTACTCTTTTCAGTATGATACTGCCTTCCTCCCCTTGTGAACATATACATAATGGAGCTAAGGGTACCCCTAAATAATATCCACAGCAAATAAATAAATAAATAAATGAACAAATAAAGAAATAATCCACAAAACCTGTTCTTCTCTCCCCAAGCCCTGAACTGCAAACCCACCCCTCAAACAGAATACTTTGCTTCCTAATTCACTTGAAAATCAAAGTCAATTATTCAACAAGTATTTACGAAGCACCTACTGTGTGCCACGAAGTGTTTCATCCAAAATAGACTTCCTCACTTTTATACTACAAACTTCTCAATGTAATTCTATTGTAATATCAACTTTTTTCCTGACACAAGAACCCATGTATAATTTTGGGAATGCCTCTCACAAATCTCCGGTTTATTTCCTCAGTCAGAGGTACTATGGGGGTGGCAGTATCTGACTTATTTTTCTCTCTAGAAAAAAGACCTTAGCTCCTGTGCAAGCACTCAGACTAACAGGAGCACTAAACATTGGGAAGATAGGTAGTAGAGAGGATGGAGCACTGGATTTGGAGTCATGAAGACCTGAATTCAGCTCTTGCCTGAGGTACTTTACTAGCTATGTGACCCAGGACAAATCACTTAATCTCACTCAGCTTTAGTGACCTTATCTATAAAATGTGAATTATAATAGTATCTATGTCCAAGGGTTGTTGTGAGCATCAAATGAGATGATGGATGTAAAGCACATTGAAAATCTTAAAGTGCTAAATAGACACTAGTTATTATTACTATTATTACTTACACATAAAAAATTTTATTAGGTGGAAACTGAGGGGGTGCCCATCAATTGGGGAATGGCTGAACAAGTTGTGGTATATGTATGTAATGGAATACTATTGTGCTATAAGAAATGATGAGTAGGCAGACCAGAAAAACCTGGAAAGACTTGTATGGACTGATGCTGAGTGAAGTGAAGTGAGCAGAACCAGGAGAATATTGTATACAGTAACAGCTACGTTGTGCAATGACTAACTCTGATAGACTTAGCTCTTCTCAGCAATGCAAGGATCTAAGACATCTCCAAAAGTCTCATGATGGAAAATGCTGTACACATCCAGAGAAAGAACTAAGGAGTTTGAATGCAGATTGAAGCAAGGTATTTGCTCTTTTTTTTCTTCCATTTTGTTTCTTCTTTCTCATGGTTCCTCCTATTGGTTTTAATTCTTCTTTACAATGTGACTAATGTGAGAATATGTTTAATAGGAATGTATATGTAGAGGCTATATCAGGTTGTATGTCATTTTGGGGAGGGAAGAGGAGAAAATCTAAAACTCAAAAGCTTATGGAAGTGAATTGAAAACAAAAAATTAATTAATTAATTAAAGAATTATATTAGCAATTCATACCTAAACCCATAGGACAGTGGGGGGGGGGAGGTTCTTAATCTGTAATATGTGGACTTGTAATTGTGTTTCAATATAATTGATTCCCTTATAATTATCTATCGACATTATATATATACATGTATGTAATATGTATGTACATATACACACATATGTGTATATAATTTTATACATTTAAAATCATTACTCTAAGAAAAGTTCTATAGGTTTTACCAGGCTGCCAAAGGGTCCAAGACACACAAAAAGGTCTGACACAGACCTTCTTATAAAGAAGCAACTTCCCATTTTTGCAAAGAACTTGGGGTTTGCCCAATTCTACACTCCCTTTGCTCTGTGAAGATCAAATGTTCTTAGCCCTTTGCAAAGCCTATTAGATGCCTAAAATAGTCTTTTTCCCTGACCTCCACCTGGAGTCCTTAAGTCCAATCCTTTCCTGGCTCTCAAGAAGCTTCAGTTTCACCTTCTCCAGCAGCTCTTTCTCATTTGCCTGTAAATATATTCAGAGCTCAACAGTCCTTAAGAAAACTAAACACACAAAACAGAACAAATTAAAACAACAAAAACCCAGACAAAAAGCACTTCTCTCAGTTCTTTTTTAAAATAGAAAGTATTGTTATCTTTTATTTTTATATTACCCGAATTTCCAAATACATACTTCCCTCCCCTCCCTATCCAGAGAGCTGTTTTATGTAATAAAGAATAAAAAAGAAAGATGGAAAAATTTAGCAAAATTCACAAATCTATAACTGAGTCTACGTTCCACACCTATAGTGTCTTACCTCTTCAAAGTGAGGAAGGAACATTTTTTCATCTTTTTTTTTTCAGAGCCTAGCTTGGCCATTACAGTTAGTGTCCAGTCAGATTGAGTGTTTCCATGTGCATAATCATTCTATTTACATTGTTTCAGTCATTGTATTTGCTGTTTGACTGGGTCTGCTTACTTCGTTCTGTAACCATTGGGCATTGATGATATTATTGTGAGTATGTGCTGCCTTTTCTCGACTCTTATATTCCATCAAACTTCAGCCACATCTCTCCCTTCCTGTTTAAAGCCAAACTTCTCAAAAAAGTTATCTAAGCTCATTCCCTCTACTTCCTCACCACCCACTCTTTTCTCCACCCCCTTGCATTCTGGCCTCCATCCCCACCACTGTCCTGAAACAGCTCTCACCAAGCTCACTAATGAAATCCTGGCCATCAAATCCAGTGGCTTCTGCTCAGTCTTCATTGTTCTTATCACTGCAATATTTGGCAGAGTGGAACACTCTCTCTTTCTAGAAACCCTCTCTTTCCTTGTATTAGGTGGCATGGAGCTCTCTTAATCCTCCTACCTACCACTCTGACCACTCTTCACCCTTCTCCTCACTCTCTTTTTATGTCTGTCAGCATGCCTCAAGGTTCTGTCCTTGGCTTTCTCTTTAGTTTATGCAGCTCTCTTCATTTATTTCTTCTCCCCCCCCATACTGCCTCCCTTTGTCACCTCACCCACTCTAATGGCTTCAGATATCATCTCCATACCGATGACTCTCAAATCTATTTCTCCACCTCTTGCTAGACCCCCAGTCTCCTATTTCTGACTATCTATTGGACATCCATCTCCACTTAGAGTCCTTCCGGCATGTAAAACTGAGCCCAACGTTTCCCTCCAATACCTGCCCTTTCCTCTTCCTCTTGATGCTACCATCCTTCCAGGCCCTCACCTGGGCTTCACCATTATCTATTACTCTTCTTTCTCCCTTATTCATCCAGCTCTCCTGTGACAATTTCCACAACATTAATCCCTCCTTTCCATTCCCACTGCTGCCTCCATATTTCAAACCCTCATCTCTTCTGACCTGTACTATTATAAGAGCTTCTTTTTAAAGCTTTTATTTATATGTTCTGTTTCTTACATGGGCATAGTTATCCCAAGTATCTATCCTTTCCTTCCCCCTCACAGAACCATCCTATATGACAAATAGTATTTTTTTTTAGAGAGGAAAAAAAGTCAGCACAACTGATAGATACACTGAGTAAGTCTGAAAACATGTGCAATGTATAGCACTCATAAACCTTCCACCTCCACAAAAGGGTGGTTTGGGTCTTTTTATCTTCCTTCATTCAAATCCTGCTTGATCTTTATAATTTTGTTATATTTACTTTTGATCTTTTGGTATATAATTGATGTTTCCATTTACATTGTTGTACTTATTGTGTATATTGTTTTCTTAGCTCTCCTTACTTCACTGCATCAGTTCATACACACCTTTCTATGCTTCTCTGTATTCATTACATATCTCATTTTATAGCATAGTAATACTCCATTGCATTCATGTACCACCATTTGTTTAGCCATTCCCCTACTGGTGGACATCCACTCTGTTTCCAATTCTTAGCTGCTACAAAAAGCATATGATAGTCTCTTAACTGGTCTAACTGCCTTCATTCAAAAGTATCCTTCACTCCATCCCAGAGTTATCTTCCTAACACGCCATTCTGATCTCATTCCTCTACTTTGAAAAACTTCAGTTGCTTCCCAATGACTAATGCATAAAACATAAACATCTGATCCTAACGTTCCAGGCTCTTCCAAGCTAGGTCCAGTCTACTCATCCAGCTTTATCTGTTGTTGTCCCCTTCAGGTACCCTGCATTATAGCCAAATCAGACTCCTCCGAATTGAGATTCTTGTCCTGCCGTCTCCTGTCTTCATGTCCTTGCTCACACTATTCCTCTTGCAGGAATGGACTCTCACCCTCCCTCTCTCTACCACCTTCATCTTTTAAAGGCCCCTCTTACTTCAAGACCCAATCCAGTTATCATCCTCTCCATGAAGCCTTCCCTGACATTCCATCCTCTAGCTGAAAGCAATATCTGCTCCGAGTTCATCCATCTCCATCTGCTCCAATTTCACAGAGCATTCTGCCAGGACTTCTTTCTGTTGTTCTCACCCTCCATGGTATCATGGGTATTTATATGCTCACCCTTTCCCCATTAGACTACAAAGTCTTTGAGAGTAGGGCCTTCATCATATCTCTGTTTGATGCTTTCACTACAGAGATTACAGTGTCTTATACACAGCAGGTGCTAAATATGTGTCTGTTAATTGAATTAAGACAGCCAAGTGGAATTTCTAGCACCCAGCTGAAAACGTGAGATTAGCTAGGGTTCTAAGGAGAAACAGGGTTAGAGATGGAGATTTGGGGGTCATCTCCATACAGATGATAACTGAAGCCATGGAAATGGATGAGATTGCTAAAAGAAAATAGATGACTTCCAAAAGGAAGTATCCCTTGGACACATAAAGGCTTTGGGAATGGAAGAGACTAGCTAGTCCAATCCTTTCCTTTTAAAAAAAATTTTATTTATTTATTTTTTTATGTGAGGCAATTGGGGTCAAGTGACCCACCTAGAGTCACACAGCCAATGAGTATCCTTCACCATGTGTCTGAGGCCAGACTCGAACTCAGGTCCTCCCGACTCCAGGGCTGGCGCTCCATCCACTGCACTACCCAGCTGCCCCCCTATCCTTTCCTTTTAAAGAGGAAGAAACCGGTGGCCAGGGAGGAGAAGGGACCTGTGTAAGGTCACAAAGATATTAAGAAATATAGGGGCCAGTTAGGTGGCATAGTGGATAATGCGCTGGCCCTGGAGTCAGGTGGACTTGGGTTCAAATCTGACCTCAGACACTCACTAGCTGGGCAAGTCACTTAACCCTGATTGCCTCAAAAAAACAACAACAAAAACTAAGGCCCTGATTCTAAATCAAGTGTTCACAGAGTTATTACTAGGCAGGAAGGCGAGGACGACAGAAGCATTTAAGTGATTACGACGTGCCAGCAGACACTATGATAAGCTCTGGGGACACAAAGACAAGCCTCCAAGGGATCTCATATTTGAAAGGGAGAATACAAAACATAGAAAGGAATTGAAAAATGGGTGTGAGATGCGTGGGGGAGTGGGGGCACGGGAGGGGGGAGAAGGGAAGAAGTGAGAGAAGGCACCTACACAGGGACGTGGTGGCCGAGTTACAGAGAGTCAGAAGCACAACCAGGAGGGGGATGAAGAACAGCTGACCTGGGCCGTCCCCAAAATGGAGGCCCAAGTACCACATTTTGTTTATTTTCGCAGGGGCCTTCTGGAGACAAATCTTCAATCCAGAGGAGTGGCTGGCATTTATATACCACTTAAAAGTTTGCATAGCCCATGCCCATCCCTTACCTTCTTATCCCTCTGAATTTTTATCTTCTTCTGGGTCTAGATAATGAGGGTCCAGGTATGAGTTTGGGAAGAGTGATGGACAGAGTAGCTTCTAATGATTGTGTTTACATGAGATGTTGACGGCCTTTCTGCCCTCTGGAAGCCTCAAGGAATTCTTGCTCAGCTGCATAATAGGATGACAGGGGAATGAGATCTGTAGGCTGGCATATACAATCAGCTACCTTTTCTGTCATCTGCTACCTTTGAGATTTGGACTTCCTGATCAACGTGTAGGCATCATTAGGTTATGACTCCTTGATAGCTATAGGAGTCAGATACTTAACAGACAATGATTACATAGTCTATTGGACCTAATAAAACAGAAAAGAAACAGGCCAGACACTCCCATACAGACTCATGCGTCCGCTATTGGTGGAGTAAATGTGGGAGTATGGTAGCCACCGCTGGACTGGGACTGCTGGGTTTCTATGAGGTGGACTACAGTCTAGGACTCTAGTTCAGGATGCCATCCAGTCACTGAGGCTGGACCGAAGTCTAGATACCGATGCTGCTAAAAAGATCCCAATCCTGAAGCAGGATTGGAGACGGAAGCTGAGAAAAGTGAGGATGCTGAGTGCCAAGACTTAGAGCTATGATAAATCCATTGGACCGGTGACCTCCTTGCTTTGCCATGCTTTAGTCCAGCATCTTCATGAAGAGTCCTGCATGCGCACACATTCCCTTCTCTTTCTTCTTTCCAAGAGCTGCCAACGTGAGTGGTTTGGGCAATTCCTTCTGCCGTCCATAAAGAGCTGGGAAGACCGGCAGGAGGAGGTTCATGAGACAGCTGGAGGTGCATGATTCCACATAGGCCTATTTCTTTTCTGCTTTATTATGTCCAATGAACTATGTAATCACTGTGTATTAAGGATCTAATTCCTATAGCTATAGAGAGAGTCATAACCTAAGAGGAGTCGAGAAACAGGATGGGGAATCTAGAATTTTGTATGGACTGCAGTCTTCATATTTAATATTCATATTTTAATTTTCCATTTCATCCCTTAGATTAAATTTTGTCTGGGACCAGCGCTGCTTAAGGCTGTAGGCAGGCTAAACGCCCTCTAGTGGTCAGTATGTAGTACTGCAGACTTCAAGGAAGAGTATCCCATGAGTGTGCCAGAGAGACCCTAAAGAGACCACTGGGCTGGTGACTCAAGTAGAGCACCCACTGGTGGGCAACCCTGCACTTTCTCACTGAATAATTAGTACAGTTACGTGCTACCTTTCTCCAGATTTAAAGAAAGCAGGATATGAGCTGATTTGAACTATTTACAAAGTCATTAAGTATTATAGGTGTTGTAAAACACTCTTATGTAGTTCCGTCATCTGTCCTTTACGAGCATACTGGGAGGTAGATACTATAGACAGCATCATCCTCATTTTACAGATAATTCTGTAAAAGTTTCAGAGGAGGAAGAGATCGTGTGTGACTGGTGGGAGGGTTGGGAGTGGGGAGTGAGAAAGTCATCACAAATAATCCTGCAAAAGGATTAATTTTCTACCTTAGCTATCATTACCCCCCATTACCCCCTAGACTCAGGATTTGAGTCTAGGCTTTCCTAACTTCAAGTGAAGCCCTCCACCACTGATGAAAGCATTTCAGACCCTAAGGGGAGACCCAATGATGTCCGGCAGGGACCAATAAGATGTCCAGGGCCCCTTGTAGTGTAGTGTAGAGAGAGCCTCCCCTCTCCCTTTTCCTGC